TATCAGGGTGACTGACTTCATAAAATGAAGTTTGAAGAGAATTGGCCTTGTCTTGCAGAATTCTTTGCTAAAACCACCTGGCCATGGGCTTTTTTGTTGGGTAGCAGACTTTTAATGACTGTTTCTATTTCCTTAGGTATTGTAAGTCCACTTAGATTATTTATTTGATTTTGATTTAACTTGGGTAGTGGTAGCTATCAAGAAAATATCCAATTCTTATAAAACAAAATTTTGTAGAGTATATGTTTTTAAAGTATGTCCTAATTATTTCCTAGGTGACTGTTTTATCCTCATTTTTGTTTCTTATTTTACTAATTTGGATATTTTCTCTCTGTGTTGTTTAGTTAGTTTGGTTAAAAGTTTGTTTAACCTGTAGATTTTCTCAAAGGACAAACTGTTTCATTGAGTCTTTTTTACTGTTCACCCTGTTCTATTTTATTGACTTCAGCCCTAGGTTTAAATATTTTCTGCTTCCTTTTTTTCTAGAGTTTTAAAGTGTGCTATAAAGTTTCTAGTATATAATATAAGGCTATCAGTGCTGTGAACTTTCATCTTAGCATTGCTTTCATTGTGTTCCATAAATTTGGGTATGCTGTGTGTTAATTTTCATTGAATTCTAGGAGATCTTTCTTTCTATATTGCTGCCTTGTACCCACAGTCATTTGGCAGAGGCCTTCAGTTTCTGTTGTTGCTGAAATACAGTTATAAACCATGGTGGTCTGATGGGATTCAGGGGAATATTACATTTTTTTTTTTTGTATCTGTAGAGACTTGCTTGCTTTGTGACTGAGCATATGTTTGTTTTTGGAGAATGTTCCATGGCATGCCAAGAAGAAGGTATATTGTTTTTCTTTTGATGAAATGTTATATGCATACATACATACATACATACATACATAATTAGGTCCATTTGATTCAAAACATCGGTTAACTCCAGTATTTCTCTATTTAATTTTTGTTTGTTTTACCTGTTCATTGGTGAGAGTGGGGTAGTTAAGTGTCCTATCTTCAACATGTGAGGATCAATGTGTAATTTTAAGCTTTAATAATGTTTCCTTATGTTTGGAACAAAGATGTTAAAAATTGAAAGATTATCTTGGTGGATCTTTCATTGAATGTGTACAAAGTATCCTTTTCTATCTACTTTGATGAATTTTTCTGTACAGTCTCTTTTATTAGATAGTAGAACATTTTTACCAGCTTTTTTCTTAGGTCCATTTGCTTGGAGAATCTTTTTCCAACCCTTTCCTCTGAGGTAATGTCTATTCTTAATATTGACACGTGTTTCTTGAGGCAATCTGGAAATGAAGCATTCAGGAATTCAAATGGAAACTACAGAGGCAATTTTTACCAACAGAATACAAGAGATGGAAGAGAGAATATCAGTCATAGAAGATATGAAAGAAGAAACTGATACACTGGTTTAGAAAGTGTTAAACCTAAAGATAGTTTTTATATTGGAGAAGGATGTATCTACTTTTTCGCATGCATTCTGTTAACTTGTCATTTTAGCTGGGAATTGAGACCATTGATATTGGGAGATATTAATAACTAATGGTTGCTATTCTTGTTATTTTGTGCATGTGTGCTTCTTTTTTTTGCTGGTGTGATATTATTTATTCCCTTGAAGTTTTTAATATTCTTTCTTTGTTCTGTATGTTTAGTGTTTTGACTAATACATGGCACAGGTCCTTTCTTTTCTGGGTCAACCTATTTGTTGTATTCTAAGCTTCTTATACTTTCATAGGCATGTCCTTTTTTGTTTAGAAAAATTTTCTTCTATGATTTTGTTTAAAAAATTTTCTGGATAGGTGTGTTTTGGCATTGTCTCCACTATTTCTAGGAGTCTTAGCTGGGGTAATCCTCATAGATTCTTGGGAATTATCCTAGCATCAGATTTATCCATAACCCCATAGTGACTCTATTAAAACATCTGTTTCATTGCTCTTTTACTTTGTCACCATACCATTTCCTCATGCTTTCACCACTCTCCCTTCCCTTTTACTGTTCACTCACCCCACCCCAAGTTTACCCAGGATATCTAGTCTAATTTCCCTTCCCTGATCAATCCCTCTGTTCCTCTTACATTGCTGCTTCTTGGCTAGCTTCTCAGGAGCTGTGGATTCTTGTCTGGTTATCCTTTGCTTTATAGTTATTATCTACTTATGACCCCTTTAATCAGATTGGTAAATGCCCCAAATATCATTATAGAGCTTTCATCCAATAATTGATGGAACCAGATGCAGAGATCCATAGTGAAGCACCAGGCCAGGCTGTAGGAATCCAGTCACAAACAGGAAGGAGTGAAAATATGAACAAGATTATCATGGAGAAATCTGTAGAGCCAGTTGATTCAGGCTGGTGGAAACTCATGAACTTTAGACCAACAGCTATGAAAACCCCATTGGACCAAACTAGGCCCTCCATATGCGGGGACAGTTTTGAATCTTCGACTCTTTGAAGCACCCCTGGCAGTAAGACCAGAATGTAACATGAGCTAGCTTGTTGAAGAATATCTCCTGTGGCGATGCCATGCTCAGTATTAATGCATGGGAAAGGAGCTTGGTCCTGCCCCAACTTAATGTATCACACTTTGTTGATTTTTCATGGGGAGAAGTTAACTGGAGGAGGCATGGAGTGTTGGAGGAGGGGTAGGAGGAAGAACTGGTGTTTGAATATAGAATGAAACTTAAATTAACATATTATTAAAAATATTTTCTCAAAGTTTGAGCTGGGATTCTTCTTTTTCTATTTCTATTATTCTGAGGTTTGGTTTTGTCATAGTGTCACAGAATTCCTGGGTGTCTGACAGGAAAATTTTAGACTAAATATTCTTTGACCAAGGTATCAATTTCTTCTATTGCATCTTCTATGTCTGAGATTTTTTCTTCTACCTCATGTAATCTGTTGGTGAAGCTTGACTCTGTAGCTCCTGTTCAAATTCCTAAATGTTTCCTTTCCAGGTTACCCTGAGTTTGTGTTTTTTTTTTTTTTTTTTTTTTTTATTGCTTCTGTTTTCATTTTCTGGTCTTGAAAAGTTTTATTTGTTTCTTTCAACTATTTGTTTGTTTTTCCTTTTTTTTTTTTTTTTTTTTTTTTTTTAGTGAATTTTTTTGTTTTTGTTTTCCCAGATTCCTTTAAGGGATTTATTCACTTCTTCTATAAGGACAGTTATAAACTTCATAAAGTTGGCTTTAAGGCTATTTCCTTGTGCTTTAGTTATGATGGATTATTCAGGGCTTAATGTAATATGATAGCTGTGCTTTGGTGGTCACATATTGTTCTGGCTGTTGTTGACCTTGTTCTTAAGATATCAACTAGGGTTCTGAGCTTGCGATGTATCTAGGTGCTTATTTCTGAGTTTTTCTTCTTTGTGTAGTTGTTTTGTTGCTTGGATTATGTTTCCCCTTTGGATTTTCAGAGTATGATAGGTATTTTTGCCTGTTTTGTTGGCCTCTTGGCTGGTGTGTTCACAGGGAATGTCTGGTGCTAACAGAGGCGGGGATTCAGTGACCTGTCAAGGATGGAGGTCAGGAGGGGATAGTCTGTGGTATGCACAGAAAATACCACTGGTGAAATGGAGGTTGCTAATGATGTTCCATTTCAGCACTAGAGATGTGCTTGAGAGATTGTTGTGCCTGATTGGGGCAGAGAGACTGAGACTATCTACAGGCAGGATGAATTAGTATTTTTACAAGGCTTGGAACCAATTTTATTGCTTTTTTCATGGATCTTGGGTATTAAGATTATTAATCTAAAGTTATATTTACAGTGAAACATTCTTTCAATCATTTATCTGCAGTCAAATTTGAAAGTATCTTCAAGAGAACATTACATGATAATCATTAAAGTAGTGTTTCTTTAGTGATATAAAATTATCCTTTTCTAAGATTAATACATTATTTTAAAACTTAGTTTTCAACACTATCAGAGTTTTATACTAGGTAAAAATAAAGAATGCTCTTTAAGGCAATGGCAGGTGGAAAGGTAATGTATGACCCAGTAGCAGGTGGAGCTATACCTATCAGGTGATCTATGTATCATCTCAGCAGATATAATATGTATAATAATTTTGTCTGACTGGTGAGTTCACTAAAAATGTATTTACAGAAAATAAATGATAATTTTCATTTTAAATGATTAGCAATGGATTACTTCAGTGTGTTGGTTAAATAAATTGTGGGGATCAAATTCTGATGGTCTATGGCACAGACATATCCGTTACTGTCTAAACTAAGGGTTCAAGGGTTAGTGTTAGGGTTAGGCTATTGTTGGGGAAAAAATCTATAGAATATCCTATATAATGTTTTAATTTTTAAGATGAATCATAATTTAAGAAATTATTTTACTATAAAATATATTTTATCTTGTAATATTTTACAAGCTATATAATTATTAATCAATTGTTAATTTGTGGGTCTCAAGATTATATGCTTACCTGCTCTTCATAAGCTAGATAATTTTCAAAATTCTATCATACAATTTTTCTTTCTTAAAAATGAGAATATTGTTTATTGCTACTAAAGCATAGTCCAGAAAAGTCAATAGAAATATTAAACACACCCTTCCTTTTTAAATCAAGGAGACACCGATGTTTAAAACACTTTTATTATAAGCACATAACTCATACTCATATAATTATGATATTTTGTCTTCATTCACTGATTAAAGTCTGTTATTTCAATCATTTTACTTTTATTATTGAATCATCACATCAAACTTATTCAGCATGTAATCCAATATTTCCCTCAACTAGTGCTACTAGTTCTAGGACCAGCCTTGGACTGGATTTGTAGTCAAGTCTGGGAAAAAGATGTCCCTGTGATAGGTTCTTATTCTTGGGTCATTGTAACCTTGGCATTCCTTGGGACTTGGAGAAATTTTGCATTTTCTGGTTTGTCTCTTCCAACTCAGGTGGTATTAGTATTGTATCTCCATGCACTTCCAAAGACTCACATTAATTTAACATATTTGACACTGCATTCTATGTTTTATCATAGTTCAAAACAAACACAAATGTGAAGAGAATTATTTTGGTTGTCCTAGTGGAAGATGCATTTTGAATACCTGGGTGTGTGATGGTCAGAAGGACTGTGAGGATGGGATGGATGAGCTACACTGTGGTGAGCCTCTTTCTATCATGCTTTGTTGTATGAGCTGTATAAGTTACTACTCATATGCTGGTATTTCCTTTCCTAGGGACATTATGCATAATATTGATACACTAGAACAGTAAACACAGACAATTATAGTACAGCATAACAATCTCTTGTCCCAGATTTTTCTTACAACTTTCTACCTAAAATAAATAGTTATCGACATTATTATAAATGTGATAACTACATTTTTGATGCTTTTATTTCAGGTACTGTTAATATATTTATCTTCTGTTGTGACAAAAAGACTTCAAGAATGCCTACATGTTCTTAGAAATTAAAAATGATTTTAAATTTTGTGTTAATTATGGATATGATTTTAAATAACACACTCAAATATCTGTTTCTTCAAACTTTTTCCTTTCTCACTATTTTATTATTTTTGTATACGTAAAGTTCATTTATGTTGGAAAATAACACAAACTAGATTAATGTTATTTTATAAAATTATGATTTCATATAAGACAAATTAGCCTATATTCACTCTTTTATTATAAGACAAGCATAATGTGGTGAATGAAGCTGGGTAAAGGTTAGAAATGAATTCCTTGCAAAATGTCAAACTCTCCTGAAAGTAAATTTCATGGAAAATGATGAAGCATGTTCTTTGTAATTAAAATTATGCATATCTTCCCTCTGCTCCTGAATAAAAAATACTACAAAAATAGTCCATGTAAATTCATAATTTCTAAGCAGGGATCTATTATAGAATTAAGTACCTTAATTAAAATTGCCTAAATTTGCTTTATTTTGCTAATCATCTCAGTAAATATTTGAAAGCAAAATACACAACTTGAAATATTTGTTTTGTATCAAAGCCTGTGATAGTTAATTTTCTTCCTCATACAAACCATTTAAGGTAAGAAGGTTTTGTGTGTGGGGGGTTATATCTAGATGGGTTACAGTCTACCATGACAGAAAAGGCTTGGAATAGGAGGTAGCTTTTCACAGAGAGACCAAACTCAATGAACAGAGAATAATGAACAGTGTACTTTATTCACTTTCAACTTGTTATTCAGCCCCCGACCTCACCCCACATTTAGATTGGGTCTTCACACTCCAATTTACATAATCACAATAATGCTGAGAGAATTCATTTCTGAATCTGAATCTCTCCAATCTCACAGGAAGATCAACAATCACAAAGCCAAATTGATATTTTAATGAAAATTTATGTTTTAGATAATTTTATTCAGGAGGATATCCTTTTGGGGTGTCACTTGATAAAACACTATGCTAGATGGAGGAAAGATAGAATCTGAAAAAGAACAATGAAAACAATGACACTGTAAAATGTAGAGATGTGTTATTAAAAATGTCTAGCCTAGTATGAAAAACTGTCAAGTTTATAATGAATTTTGGAGTTCTTACTACAAAATTATGAACTCAAGCATTTTCAGACAATGTAACAAAAGCAAGAACATGATTTTAAAGGACAGCTATTTTTTGTTTTGACTTGTTTTGTTTTTGGAAAAGAGTATTTGATGGTCATGCATCTTGTTCATGACACAGGTTTTCCTCTTAGATAAAGAATGAGTAAATTAAAGAAATTCTACCTTCTGCACCTGGAGAATTTATTTTAGTTTTGTGAAGGATATTTTTTGAGGAGTGTAGCCAGAATATTCACTAGCTATGAGGCAAGACCTGTTACGAAGCATGCTGCAAGGTCAAGGATGTGAAAGCTGGAAGGACAGAAGTTTGCAAGCTGTTGGCCTTCATAGAGAGTTATGATACAGAGTAAGGACTTGGTTAATTTTATTTTAGGATGGTTTGATTTTAGCCAACCTGTAAAAAGAGTCTAAGGAAAGCCTTTTTAACAGTGCAGTCTTTTTAAAGATGGTCTTGCTTATAATTAATTAACCTATGTCAATTATGCATGTTAACTGGTTGTCAAGTGATGTTTTGATTGATGTTCACATTGTGGAATGTTCAAACAAAGGTAAAAAATATCTATTTTCTCAATTATTTATCATTTTAATAAAAATATTTTTACATAGATTTAAAAAATAAAATATTGCTGTAATATTGTGTAATGGACTTCCAGAACTTATTTTTCTAGTTTTTCCTCTAAAATAATGATTTTTATTTTCCAGATTCTTCTTGTTCTTGGAACCAATTTGCTTGTTCTATACAAAAATGCATCTCTAAACACTGGATCTGTGATGGGGAGGATGACTGTGGAGACAGCCTAGATGAAAGTGACAGCATTTGTGGTGAGCAGTTTCCTTTGAGTTCTCAATAAATATTTTTTTTCCTGTGAATTTTTAAATAGCATGTATGTTTGAGATATAGCATATATCTGTGCTTTCCAATGTCTTAAACATCATCAAATTTATATTTATATGTAATTGATTTTCTTGTTTTTATATATACACATATTTTAAAACAACTGGTGATCTTTTATGATAAGATTTTGTTTTTAGTTATGTGGATATAAGTGTATGTCTGTGTGGAAATATGGACAAGGTTTAAGGCATGGATATAGAGTTATATTTGTTTAGGAGCAACCTAATGTGGGTGCTAGGATTTGAACTCCAGTATTATGCAAGAACATTTAAGTCTTTATCAACTAAGCCATACCCTAAGCCCTTATTATTTTGTTTTTCAAAGTACACATATTGGATAAGTACAATTTTGCATTAGTGGCATCAAATAATCACATGTGTTCTTCATCTATCTAGTTTTCAATGCTTCTTCACAGTAAATTTCATTGATTGATATGATTAGACAAAATAATCATGTTTTATGACACATGCGTCCATAGCTGAGTTGGTGCCTGAAAGTTAGCATAAAGATTTTCACTGCCATTAACTGCTTATGTTGTTTGTGTGCCCATTTTGTAATAAAGCATTGCTAGTGCATTGTTGTAAATTGGAAATAAAGAAACTTGGCAAATTTATACAGTTTTCTAAGTATGTTTAAATTCAATAATTATGGTATTGCAGTGTTAAATGTCTAGGTTTATCTACAATGCATTTAACTACTAAATATATACTATGATTTCAGCTATAAAAGTAGTGTGATATATTTTAATAATCACAAATATTTATCATGTGGTTTATTTGGAACTATTACCTGGATTTTACAAGGGCTAAAAGAACACAGCAAGCTAGCTAAACTCCATAACGTCTTAGCAGTTGTTCATCATAATATTCATTTGTTTCTTCTTTACCTGTTTTGTCTAGCTACACAACACTTTTGATGTGTATTTTATGTATTTTTACTTGAATATCCTTTACTCACTGTGGCAGTATCGGGTCTTCTTCAATGTCCTTTTAGAAATAGTGAGACCTGAGTAATAAACTCAGATGTCTGGAAAAAGCTGAGTGTCTTTCTACATTCACATTTCAGGAGAATGGTCAAGAGTTTAGGCTGTTATAAGAGACAGAAGTTCTTTATAATTCTCAACCTCGACAGAATTAGCCAATGGATAACAAAAAATAGGCATTATGTTCTGAAAGCTGGCAATTTATTTATTCCATTTAAGAAAGCCAAAAAATAACTATTTTCTTTTTTTTTTAGTTTTATTTATTTATTTATTTATTTATTTTATATAACCAAATCCATTTAAATGAAAACAAACATTTATAGACAATATTTGGGAATTTGGGCGTTGTTCTTTCCAAATTACTTCCTGCTGGTAAGGGGCACTGTCATAGGGGATTCAAAGAAGATTCAGAAATCCTGGCTGTAGTCTATAAGGCTGCTTTGTCCAGCTGTTTTGAATGTAGGATCACCTGGTACTCTGTTTCAGGCGGTCTGGCTTGATCAAACCACATTAGTCTAGAAGGAATCCACATCTTTTCATTTTCTGTGGAAACAAAAATAGAAATCCTTTTCCCCAGTAACTTGTCCTTGAACTTAAATTTTGGAGTCAAAGCATTTTTTTTTTTAATTTAATTTATTATTTTACATGACGATCCCAATTCCCTCTTCCTCCCTTCCTCCCTCCCTTCCCTACCTTTTACACTCTCTGCCCTTTAACATGCACTCTAACCACCCTCCCCGCACATCCCCCCACCCCAATTCCATATGTAGGGGAATGCCATCCAGTTGGGGTCATGTAGGTCTGACAGGTCATGTGAAGTAGGGACTAGGGCTTCTCTCCTGTCTCTAGATTAAGGCAGTTATCCCTCCATGGGGGATGTGTTCACAAAGTCTTTTTGTGCACCAGGGATAAATCCTGGCTCCACTGTCTGAGGTCCCTTAGACTGCTCAGTCCTTCTGGCTGAGACCCATATTCAGGGGGCCTGAGTCAGTCCTTTGCTGGCTTCCCAGCTATCAGTCTTGTGGCCCATTAGCTCCTCCTTGTTCAGGTAAGCTGTCTCTATGTGTTTCTGCCACCTGGTCTTGTCCTCTCCATCTGAGTTCTACTTCGACTCAGTGTTTATATATGGGTGTTTGCTCCTGTTTCTAACAGCCATTAGTTCAGGGCTCCATGGATAAGTTAGTTCTTGATCTCACTCTCCGGGAAGGGCATTTATGGTAACCTTTCCAGGGAAGCTCAAATTGTTAGAGGGCAGCAGTCTTGTAGTTCTCTAGGCCTTTCTTTGTGTTCAGTTTTATCTTCAAACCAATATTTGCTCCCTCTTTTATGTTCTCTCTCTCTCTGTCTCTCTGTCTCTGTCTCTGTCTCTGTTTCTCACTCTCTCTCTTTCTCTCTCTCTCTCTCTCTCTCTCTCTCTCTCTCTCTCTCTCTCTCTCTGTCTGTCTTTCCTGTCTTCTATTCCTAACCAGGTTCAATCTTCCTGGTCGCACACGTTTTCCTTTCCTCCCTCTTGTTTTCTCCTACTTCTCTCTCCATTCGCTGCCCCCCTACTTCCCCTGAACTCTGGGGGACTTGTCCCTTACCAGTTCTGTGAGGGACTTTATATGAATCTGTTAGAATACACCCTTGTATCCTAGTTCCTATGGTGGTGTGAATTATAGGCTGATGATCCTTTGATCTAGGTCTAAAATCCATATATGAGTGAGTACATACCATGTTCCTCTTTTTGTGACTGGGTTACCTCATTCAGCAAGGTTTTTTCAAGTGCCATCCACTTGCCTGTGAATTTCAAGATACCATTATTTTTTTCTGCAGAGTAGTATTCCATTGTGTAGATATGCCACATCTTCATTAACCATTCTTTAATTGAGGGGCATCTAGGTTGCTTCCAGGTTCTTGCTATTACAAATAGTGCTGCTATGAACATAGTTGAACAGATTATTTGTTGCATGGATGTGACTCCTTTGGGTATATGCCTAAGAAGGGGATTGCCAGGTCCTGTGGTAAACTAATCCCCATTTTCCTGAGGAACCACCATACTGATCTCCAAAATGGCTGTATGAGTTTGTACTCCCACCAGCAGTGGAGGAGTGTTCCCCATTCTCCACATCCTCTCCAATATGGTGTTTTTAATTTTAGCCATTCTGGCAGGAGTAAGATGGTATCTCAAAGTTGTTTTGATTTGCATTTCCCTGATAGCTAAGGATGTTGAGCATTTTCTTAAGTGTCTTTCAGCCTTTTTGATTTCCTCTATTGAGAATTCTTTCTTCAGTTCTGTACCCCATTTTTTAAATAGGGTTGGTTGGTGTTTTGTTGACTAGTTTCTTGAGTTCTTTGTATATTTTGGAGATCAGCCCTTTGTTGGATGTAGGATTGGTGGAAATATTTTTCCAATCTGTGGGCTTCCGTTTGGTCTTGTCCACTGTGTCCTATGCCTTACAGAAGCTTCTAATTTTGAAGAGGTCCCATTTATTATTAATTGTTTCTCTCAGTGTCTGTGCCTCTAGAGTTATGTTCAGGAAGCAGTCTCCTATTCCAACTTGTTCAAGGGTACTTCCTACTTTCTCTTCTAAGATATTCAATGTGGCTGGATTGATGTTGAGGTCTTTGATCCATTTGGACTTGAGTTTTGTGCATGGCGACAGACATGGGTCTATCTGCAGTCTTCTACACACCCTCATCAGGGGCCAACCCACGGAGTTGGCGGGGGGAGAGGTTGTAGGGGACAGGCAGCCCTGATTGGGCCCAGACTCACCTCTGGCCAATAGCTGGCGGAAGAGGACAAGGGCTGAGCTGAAACTTAGGAAGGTTTTACAGGATAGTCGGATCTCACTGGAAACTGGAACTCTCCAGCTGAGGCCTCTTTCTTTAGCAGAGGCCCTGATTTGGAGGTCAAGGATCTTGTGGGCAGGAACTCAGGGTGGACCAGCAGAGATAGGCGGATATTGGGGATGGGCCTGTGGCTGCAGCAGAGGACTGGAGGTGGGGACAGAGACCAAGCAGGTGGAAATTACATGTGGTCCTGCGTGGATAGGCAGGTCTCCTTTGTTCAGAGTTGCTCTGAGAACTCTCCGAAGTAGGGTGGACTGTTGGCTCCAACCTCTGTCCAAGTGCTCAACCAGAGCAGCAGGACAGTGGGTAGGGTAGGGCACAGGGTAGGGGGGCCATGCTCATGGTGGGGATGGGTGGGGGTGTATCAGAGCTTCAAGGGTGCTCTCGATGGGGACAGAACACAGGAGCAGCAGGATCAGGCAGAAGTATTTTCTTTACACAGGTGGGACAATGTACAGTTATGTAAGAGATAAATATAAAGCATAAAGGTAATTATCAAAATGATTTAATACAAGAAATATTGATTAATTACATGAGTTTAGCTCCTCTATTAGTTCCCTTGCTATAAGTCTTTAAGACCTAAAATAGGACTTTCATGGGATAAACATGCTTCCAATCCATGAAACAATCTTGCTTTTGACATTTTTGTTTAACCAGGCACTAAAAGGTTCCACTGATAACTACTTTCTTTCTTTTTCTTTTCTTTTCTTTTTTTTAACATTATATTTTTTATTTTTTCATTTTTTATATATTTATAATTTTTTATTTCACATATTGATCCCAGTTTCCTCTCCCTCCCACCCATGCCCCCCTGAAATCCCTCCTCCTGTCCCATTCCCCACCCACTGCACAGGGAGGGTGATACCTTCCAGTAGGGATCATCAAAATCTGTCAAGTCATTTAGAATATGGTCTAGGCTCTCCCTCCTATCTCTAGGTTAAGGGAGTATTTTTCCATGTGAAATGTGTTCTCAAAGTCCTTTCCTGCACCAGGGATACATCCTAGTTCCACCATCAGAGGTCCTTTAGACTGCCCAGGCCTTCTATCTGAGACCAACATTCAACGGGGCTGAGTTGGTCCAATGCTGGTTTCCTGCTATCAGTCTGGGGGGGT